AAAAAGAATAAGGTCCCAGGTATTTTGATGACATCTCTGGCAATGTTGTGCTTTATATTTTTCTGTAATAAGAAAGCCTATTTTTAATATTTTCAGCTCTTCAATCAAAAACGGAATTGTTCCAGACAAATTAAAAATAGCAAAAATTGTACCTATATTTAGAGGTGGAGATACATCTGCAATTAGCGATTATAGAACAATCTCAATTCTTCATATATTTTCTAAACTCCTTGAAAGAATAATTTACATCAGACTGTATAAATATTTAATAAAACACAAAATCTTAGGTGAAAATCAATACGGGTTTCAAACGCAACATTTAACAGAACGTGCTATCCTAGATCTCATTAATAACATTACAACTTCCTTTAATGATAGAAAATTTGTATTAGGAGTCTTTATTGATCTTACAAAGGCGTTTGACACAGTAGACCACACAATACTACTAAGAAAAATGGAAAAATATGGCATAAAAAATCAAACTATAAAATGGTTCACCAACTATCTAGACAACAGACAACAATGTGTTACCATAGATCACTATAACAACTCAAAACAACTAAAAATCAAATGTGGAGTTCCTCAAGGATCTATTCTAGCTCCTCTTCTAATTTTATTTTAAAGTATCATCTAAGTTAAATTGCATAATTTTTGCAGACGACTCTAATCTGTTTTATTCTTCTAGCTTAATCAGTGACCTCTTTATAACCGCTAACTTGGAACTTATTAAACTTAACACAAGGTTCAGAGCTAACAAATTGTCAGTAAACTTGAACAAAACTAAATACGTCTTATTTCACCGCAACCAAAGAAAAAAGGCTATCCCATCAATTTTACGAACTCTTAGTATAGACAACACAATTATTGAACGAACTCAATCATCTAAATTTCTTAGTGTGCTTCTTGACGAGAAATTATCTTGGAACTCTCACACAAATACCATTAATACAAAAGTCTCAAAAAAGATCTACTTGGTCTACTCTATAAAGCAAGAAATTATTTATCGTTCGAAAATTTAAAACTTCTTTATTTTTCCTTTATACACTGCTATCTATCATATGCCAATATAGCATGGGCAAGTACCCATAAAACTAAATTAAGTTCACTCTATAGAAGACAGAAACTCTCCTCAAGAATTATTTTTTATAAAAACAAACTTACTCACGCAAACCCATTACTAAAATAGATAAATGCTTTAAACATTTACCAAATTAATATATATCAAAATATTTTGCTTATGTTCAAACATAAAATGATAATTATTCCAAGTCGATTTATGAATAACTTTTTTCAAACTAATATAAACAAATTTAGCACTAGAGCAACTGGAAACTATATAGTACCCCTTAAAAAAATATCTTAATTCTTAATAGCATATCGTGGTCCTAACTTGTTTAACAAATTAATACCAAAAAATTCCTCAATATCTCTCCTGAAAAATATAAATTCCTTAAAATCTTATCTTAAAAAACTTGTCTTAAATACAAGCAGTTATATGGAAATTTTCTAATATTTTATGAGTAATTAAAATATCAAAATCATGTACAAAAAAAAAAAAAAAAAAAAAAAAAAAAAAAAAAAAAAATAATAATAATAAAAAAAGTATGAATATACATATACACATGTTTATGTGTGTATGTGCATGTTTATGTATGTGTGTATGTGTATGAGAATATGTGTGTATGTGTATTTATGTATGTGTATGTGTGTATGTATATATATATATGTATGTATGTATGTGTGTATGTATGTATATATGTATGTATATATATATATATATATATATATATATATATATATATATATATTTACATATATACACACACACACATATATATATATAAAAATACACATACATACATAC